CGTTACGATAACAATAAAATTGAATTTAATATCACCCAACACGCATATGTCTTATGTTGTCCTACTCTTTTTTTTTTTTTTTTTGCAGAGGTTGCGAACCCCAACTCTCCGGGCACGTACCGGCCTCCTCCCCGCACCAAAGAGGTTGTGATCAAAGGACAGGTGATTAAGCTCAAGTACTGCTTCACCTGCAAGATATTCCGGCCGCCTCGCGCCTCACATTGCAGTCTATGCGACAACTGTGTCGGTGAGTATTGTCAAGTGAAAATGTTCAATGTGGGTGTTGTCGTTTTTTGTTGTTTTTTTCTGTTTTGTTTTGGTCTTTTTTACAACCCCATCGACAGGATTTAAATCACCTTGTAAGATCTAACACCTAGCCTTCTCGGGTAAGGGCGAAAAATCTCGGAGGTCCCGACCCGTGTGCAAGTTGCGCACGTTTAAGATCCCTTGGTGGTTCAGAATCAATTAGAGTAGGCTTCGGCCGCCATCCGGGTAAAATTCAAAATAAATTCCTACCAAACTGATAATGTTTGACGCGTCCCATGCCCTCATATGACCTTATGCTGTTGCGAGCGCCGTAAAGCTCATCATATAGGTAGAGAGCTTCCGACCCTGCCTGTCAGGATCAACCCAGGCTTAGAGGATACCACAACATCCCAGCAGATAGATCGAGTTTCTCGATAAAAACGTTTGTCCCTAACGTTTGTCCCTAACGTTTGTCCCCATTCGGGAATCGAAATGACGTCCACTGCGTAACCTAACAGAGCAGGTGCTGGTGTGAGTTGTGAGTAAAAAGGTGCATTTGTGTGCACACCAGCGCCCGCAAACATGAACATAGGCTCACAGACACAACCCCTGCCGCCGCCCCTTTACCAGTACAAAATACTTGGCTTATGTGTAAAGGCAAATATGAGCTCTTACGAAAACGCGTGCACGAACACACCCACAAATACACACACACATACAACATAAACACACACACGCACACACACACGCACGCACGCACGCACACACACACACACACACACACACACACACGCGCGCGCGCACAGAGAGAGAGAGAGAGAGAGAGAGAGAGAGAGAGAGAGAGAGAGAGAGAGAGAGAGAGAGAGAGAGAGAGAGAGAGAGAGAGAGAACCTCAACTTTCTCAGCACACAAAAAAACAAAACAAAACAAAAAGAAACAAATTAAAACTAAAACAAAACAAAACGAAATATAAAATGAAAAAACCCCTCAACCTAACAAACTCCTGCAGAAGCACAGACATAAAATACGATCATAAATCATTTTGTAAGGGTTTTCCCGTGGACTTTTCCAACTGCATGTGTATTGTAAGGCATCGTGGTGAAATCAGGCGCTGGTAAAGGTCATGAGAAATCAAAGCATTTTAATTTTTTTTCAATTTGATTTGGACTCAGCCCCTCTTATGCCCACCTAAAAAACACATTCACGCATGGATTTTTCCTACTGCATCATTCTGTATTGTAAGGCATCGTGGTGAAATCAGGTGCTGGTCAAGGTCATGAGAAATCAAAGCTATTGAAATTGTACCGCCCATTTAGCAAAATGTCTTTTATTTTTTATTTTTTTTCTAAAAATTTTGTTTTGGACTCAGCACCTCTCATGCCCACTTAAAAAAACACATTCACGCATGGACGTTACTGAAAAAACATTGATTAAAGACACACACACAAAAAATATAAATTTGTGGGTTTTCAAGAACTTTAGAGATTCTGAAGTCCCCAAACTTTGGAGGCCATTTTCTCGCTACCGTCTCCTCGGATACCTGGCTACCCCCACCTCCTTCTATCGCAAATATCTCCACTTTTATTCAAGATAGATGGGGTTGGGTTTGTT